ATCTCCCTGCTGTAATACCCAATCCTGATCCTGTCCACCTGAAAGTGTTATGCGTTCCCATCTTTGCACATTCCAACACCTCCAGCTGCATTCTCCATAATGTAAAGCAAATAAAAGTCCAACCGGTAAAGCAGGAACATGACCTCAGCAGGTGTGCAGATGTAAGAACTCAAGTGCAGAGATCTCACTAGTGGAATTCCCAAAAGTTTAAAACAAAACATTAGGACAACTTACTATCAAAAACTCAAACACCAGTTTTGGGTGGACCAATCCTTTAAAAGAGAAATTAAGCCATGCTTGAAGGTATCACGTACAGCCAAATCTAGGGCAAAGAGCTTCAAATCCTGTGAAACTGAAATTGTCAGGTAGGGGGAGCCTTAAGTCTGAATCTGTCAAGTAGACTACATCTTGGTACTGACACGTGTAGCAGCTACTCTCCGTTATATTTAAACATGACCATCCTGTGCCTATTTTTGCTGAGGTCTCCATCATTTGCCAATAGATGAATATACGTGAGACAAACTTAATATGCACAAGAATATGCATACATTTTCATTGAGGTAAATTTGCCAAACTTTAAAAAGAACAAACTGAACTATTGCTCCTAATACCCAGTTTTCAGGTCCTTCTATAAATGGCAGAAATTAACGAAGTCAATCAGTTGCTATCGGCAACATATCCATTCTTTTAAAGGCTTATGCAGATGGACGTTGTTTTCTAGCATCTGACATGAATTTGAAGTACACGTTAATCACAAGCCTACAAAATTAAAATTACCTTAATTGTATGGATGAACAATCTGCAAATTTTGTGGATGAGATCCATATCGGACTGTCAAACGTTTCTCCACTGCAGGCAAATGCAGCTTACACCTGCGCTCTACTAGAAGGTTAAGCCCTCAAATGCACATGTTTGTCTGAACACGTGCATTTATGCCGTTGAAACGCAAAGGGCAACATTCACAAATAAAGCCCATCTACGCAAGTCCTAAGCCAAATTTTGAACAGCCTCAGTTAAGCTACTTCTGAAATTTATCACTGGGTCATCAGTAGTATCTTTATAGAATATAAAGAGTGTCAAATAAGTAGACCCTCAAGTAGGCACTAATGCATAGGTCCTTGGCTTAATTAGCCCAAGATGACAAATCATCACCAAAAGTGTTACTCAATAAAATCCACAATGTTAAAGAACAGCACAAAGTTGAGCAAAGAAAGATTTCAAACTGCAATTTCACTTACCTGTTCAGCTGAAGTCTTGCAGTCTATCAGAGCCACAGCTACTATAAACCAAAGTGACAGAAGAACCATCACGAGTCCGGTAATGTCTACAGCTAATCCTCAAAAAAAAAATGAACACAGAAAAAAAAAAAAGATGCTTTTAAGGAATCTTTAGATCTAAAGAGATTTCATCAGAACATCTGAATGAATCAATGTACTTCTTCACTTATTCTTGCTTGCTTCTGTAATATTTGCATTCAGGTCCCTGAGGACCAGTCTCTAGGTTGGGACTTTTGAATGGGAGTGTCGTGGGGTACTTCTAAAGCAGGTCTTGAGAAATAGACAAGACTTGTCAAATGGATAGAATCAATACTAAGAAATGGGGGTCCTTTAACAGGAAGTCTTTCCAGTCTGAGTGTTACTTTAATAGATGAGAAGAGCTTAAGTTGAACTAGCCCTTTAGATCAGACAGGGAGGAAGGCAGGCAGTCAGAACTTTTCAGCCTCCTTCTTTGTAATAGGTGTCCTAATTTCAAGTTAAAACTCTCTGCCTAGGATAAATAAGGGAGGTATATAAAAAAAGGTGTTTACTAACTGTAAACTTTCCAGTTAAAGCAGCAACTAAAAGGAGATCTATATGTTTTTGTAAAAGAGCAAAAGAAAGCAAAGCCTGCAAGAGGAAGAGGAGGAGGAGGGAGAGGGAGAGAGTCAATGTGTGACTCTATTGCTCAGAGAGCTGTCTGCTTTCCCCCTGCAGCCTCCCAAAGATCTAATACGGGCCTGGCAGACACCTCCCCCAGAACACGTCAACCTCCCCCCTCCTTCTCCTGTGTGAAACAATCCACAGATGCAAATCATCAACTAACTGCTGGGATACAGTGGATTCTTACAGAACACAACTTTCATGATCCTTTGGAACTGACAGTATGCACACTGGCACCAGTTAGCCCTGATTTTAAATATATCACGAAATGATTCTGTGACTGTGTCTGACTCCACTGATTTCAAAGTCAGAATAAAGATTTTGCCACATTAAATTTCAGGTCAGAGTAAAGATTTTAGTAAATTAAATTTTAGTTCAGAGTAAAGATTTTAGCAAATTAAATTTCAGGTCAGAGTAAAGATTTTAGCAAATTAAATTTCAGGTCAGAATAAAGATTTTAGTACATTAAACATTTAAAATATGATAAATATTGTTAAAATATGATAATCCATCCATTGATCCATCATCTTGCTGGGGGAACTTGTGTGATTCTGTCTTTTGACATAATCAATGCATCTTTCACCAAGTTGTATGCTGAAACCCATAGTTCCTGTTTTTTGGAAGGACTGTCCCTCTTTGGAAGCAAAGGCTTCTTTTATTCCTCCTTTGTCTCTCTTTCCTGCTCAGATGATACTCATTTTTCATTGACTGCAATGAATGTACACTCTATTGCCAAAAGTATTGTGACACCCCTCCAAATCATTGGATTCAGGTGTTCCAATCCTCTCCATAGTCACAGGTGTATAAATCAAGCACCTAGGCATGCAGACTGTTTCTACAAACATTTGTGAAAGAATGGGTCGCTTTCAAGAGCTTAATGAATTCAAGCGTGGTACCGTGGTAGGTTTCCATCTGTACAATAAGTCCAGCCGTGAAACTTCCTTGCTATTAAATATTTCAACTGTGAGTGATAATATAACAAAGTGGAAGCAACTGGGAACAACAGCAACTCAGCCATGAAGTGGTAGGCCATGTAAAATGACAGAGCGGGGTCAGCGCATGCTGAAGCACACAGTGCGCAGAAGTTGCCAACTGTCTGCAGAGTCAAGAGCTAAAGACCTCCAAACTTTGTGTGGCCTTCAGATTAGCACAACCACAGTCCGTACAGAACTTCATGGAATGGTTTTCCATGGCTGAGCAGCTGCATCCAAGCCTTACATTGCTAAGTGCAATGCAAAGCGTCGGATGCAGTGGTGTAAAGCACACCGCCACTGGACTCTAGAGCAGTGGAGACGTGTTCTCTGGAGTGACCAATCACACCTCTATGTCTGGCAATCTGATGGACGTGTCTGGGTTTGGCGGTTGCCAGGAGAACGGTACTTGCCTGACCAGGGCCAGACTGACAACTCATGGGGCCCCCAGGCAATAGGGGATCATGGGGCCCCTGTGTCCTTGCCCAAACTCAAAAAAGCCTATTAAAAAGGTACCAGGGGCATCTCATGGGGCCCCCTACTGACCCCGGGCCCTCGGGCAGTGCCCGAGTTTCCAAATGGTCAGTCTGCCCCTGTGCCTGACTGCATTGTGCCAAGTGTAAAGTTTGATGGAGGGAGGATTATGGTGTGGGGTTGTTTTTTAGGGGTTGGGCTTGGTCCCTTAGTTCCAGTGAAAAGGACTCTTAAGGCATCAGCATACCAAGACATTTTGGACAATTTCATACTCCCAACTTTGTGGGAACAGTTTGGGGATGGCCCCTTCCTGTTCCAACATGATTGCGCACCAGTGCACAAAGCAAGGTCCATAAAGAAATGGATGAGCTAGTTTGGGGTGGAAGAACTTGACTGGCCTGCAAAGAGTCCTAAACTCAACCCTATAGAATACCTTTGGGATAAATTAGAGCGGAGACTGCGAGCAAGGCCTTCTCATCCAACATCAGTGCCTGACCTCATAAATGGTCTTCTGGAAGAATGGTCAAACATTCCCATAGACACACTCCTAAACCTCATGGACAGCCTTCCCAGAAGAGTTGAAGCTGTTATAGCTGTATAGCTGTTGGGCCAACTCAGTATTGAACCCTATGGATTAAGACTGGGATGCCATTAAAGTTCATGTGTGTGTAAAAGCAGGCATTCCAATACTTTTGGCAATAGATAGAGGAGAAGTCTTCTCTTCACTACTTCTGTTCAAAGTACTGAACTTATAAAGTTTGTCTGAGAGTTCAGAAAAAAGGGGGAGAGAGCTGAAATTGTACTTTGCAAAACTCAGTGAGGAGAACTCTGAGAGCTGATTGGAGGGAATGGACACACCCCTCTCTACACAGCTCATAGAAACAGAGCTGAGGCTATCAATCTGGTGGAGGTTCCTACACTGTCATCATTTTCCTCTTGGTGTCAAGAAAATTTACAGATGACAATAATGTCAAAGGCATTCACTGGCTCTGAGGAGAAGAAGCAAGTCCTCGAAACGTGTTAGCCTGTTGGAGGTCCAGGGTTCCCATTGCGAATAGTCACCAAGTGTGGACTGGACAGTGCTGTTCTTTTATGATGTGCCTTTGACATTATTGTCATCTGTGAGCATAGTACCTATCATCTTTTATCAATAAATGTTTTTTTAAGGTAATACACTAGGCCTGTGCGCCTTCTGTTTGTTTTCTTTGTATCCAGTGTATTTGGACTTCCCCAGTCCTTTGAGGGCAGCAAGGCATGCACTTTCCAAGGCATTCGACATGTGGTTGTAGCCTTTGTGGAATCCATCCCCAAGCGCAGACGTATACAGTATGTGTTTGCCATTTTTGATGTCAGGAAAACTTGTCAGAAGTCATTCATGCTGACAGCAGAGAAACGAAGCAGCAGACAGAAATGACACTTAGTGATCTTAATAGAGTTAAGTAAACACTGTAAAGGGATATGCTTCGTTCATATTTCTTGTCTGTGGTTTACAACCACTTTAACCGCCTTCCGCCCGCCATATAGTAATCTGACTGACACAAGGTGGTTCTCTCGTTCTGGGAGGACGTCATATGACGTCTTCCCATTGTAACCACGCATGCGCGGCTCCCGGAGCGCGCAGCGGTGCGATCGGTAGTGTGCTGTGTCCCTCGGACACAGCGGTATAACCGATCCATGGAAAGAGCTGAAGATGTCGGCTCAGTCATGTGACCAGCTGTGTCCAATCACAGCTTATCACATGTAAACAGGGAAATGCCGGTTATCGGCATTTCTCTCCCCACGAGCTGTCACGCTGACAGCTCGTGAGGAGAGAGCCTGTAATCGGCATTCCTCAGAGGGGACATGTACACAGATCATCAGAGCACTGATGATCAGTGTGCCCTGATGATCTGTGTAGCTCCAGCAGCGCCACCTGTCAGTGTCCATCAGTGCCATCTGTCACCCATCAGTGCCAGTCAGTGCCACCTATCAATGCCAGTCAGTGCCACCTATCAGTGCTGCCAATCAGTGCCACCTATCAGTGCCACCTGTCAGTGCCAGTCAGTGCCGCCTATCAGTGTGCATCAGTGCCGCAAATCAGTGCCCGTCAGTGCTGCCTATCAGTGCCGCCTAACAGTGCCAGTCAGTGCCACCTAACAGTGCCAGTGAGTGCCGCCTATCAATGCCAGTCAGTGCCACCTATCAGTGCTGCCTATCAGTGCCATATATGAGTGCTGCCTTTCAGTGCCCATCAGTGATGCCTGTCAATGCCACCTACCAGTGCCTCCTCATCAGTGCCACCTATCAGTGTCCACCTATCAGTGTCCATCAGTGCAGCCTCATTAGCGCACATCAGTGAAGGAGAAAAATCACTTATTTACAAAATTTTATAACAAAAACTAAGAAAAAACTTTTTTTTTTTTTCAAAATTTTCAGTGGTTTTTGGTTTGATTAAGAAAAAATAAAAAACCCAGAGGTGATTAAATACCACCAAAATAAAGCTCTATCTGTCACAAACAAAATGCTAAAAATTTTATATGGGTACAGTGTTGCATGATCACGCAATTGTCATTCAAAGTGCAACAGTGCTGAAAGATGGAAATTGGCCTGGGCAGGAAGGGGGTATAAGTGCCCTATAGGCTAGTGGTTAAAGACTATATAAACCCACATTTCATATTCCTGATATGTGCCTGCTGTACTATTACTTGTATAAAAAAGTATCCTTGTTCTCTTTGTATTGCTTCCTTTGTGTGAAATCTATGGTGTTCCTGCCAGTCCCTCTGCTTTCCTAACAAAAACTGACCACACTAGACATGAGAGCAAAATGTAGTCATTTCTCTAGCTGTGCTGGGAAATTAGTGTGCTCTCCTCCAATGATCAGACATCTGCTCACACGTTTCCCTGCACAGCCATTCACTGGGAAGTTCAGAGTGCTGCTGTTTCTTCTCCCCAAGCCCTTATGCAGCTTTGAACAGAAGGTATGTGATCACTTAAAAAAAAAGGGTAAACAAAAAGGTATTTATGATGCTTTTTTATACTGTATCTATACACAAATGTTTTGCCTTTCATTTCTCTTTTAACCACTGGCTCTCCTGAGGATTTACCCCCCCCCCCCCTTCCTAACCAGGCCATTTTTGCATTATGGCGCTGCGTTACTTTACCTGACAATTATGCAGTCATGCAATGCTGCACCCAAATAAAATTTACATCCTTTTTTTCCTATGAATTGAGCTTTCTTTTGGTGGTATTTGGTTGCCTGTGCATTTTTTATTTTTTGCGCTGTAAAAAAAAAAGTCCGCCAATTTTGAGGAAAAAATATTTTTGACTTTTTGCTATTAAACGTAAAAAATTTTAAAAAATCAAATTTCAGCATAAATTTAGGCCAAAATGTATTCTGTTACATGTCTTTGCTTAAAAGAATCCCAATATGTGTAAACTAATTGGTTTACCTGAAAGTTATAGCGTTTACAAATGGCAATATATATACTGGGATTTTTTTTTTTTACTAGTAATGGCAGCGATCAGCGACTTATAAAGGGACTGCGGGACTGCGGTGGGCATTCTGACACTGGGGGGAACTGACTTGGTGTCACTGACATCCCCAGAGACACCAATAAAAAAAGCACTGACACTGTACTAATGGCACTGGGCAGGAAGGGGTTAACATGAGGGGCAATCAAAGGGTTAACTGTGTGCTGGGTATGTTTTACTATGGGGCGGTGTCTGTGTGCAAAAGTGGTGAAAGCCTAACTCCAACCAAAACATTTTATAGTTGAGGTTAGGGGGGTAACAACTTCTGCTGTGTTTTTTTTATCTCTGTAATTTGTGACTCTGTTATGTACATTTCTTTTCAATTCCTGTCCCTGTGACCCATACAACTAGCAACTGAGAGCCCATTTCTTGCCAGGACAGGAAGACACAGACTGCACTATAACATCTTCTGGAATTCCAAATTTTCCCCTGTCTATCCAATGTTATGAAACAAAAAATTGGATGGGTTTTAACCAGCTAAGGTAATATTCTGCACTCAAAGTTTCCTCCACCCTCTAAATTATTTAATTTGTTGTTTTCAAATTCTAGTATAAAAGAAAAAGAATGGAGTAAAATTGATTATTTTGGCATAAACTCTTTATGATCTACGTAACTGGGTACTTGATAGTGATGGGTCATTTACGAACATATTGGGGGAGATTTACTAAGACTGGAGAGTGTAAAATTAGGTGCAGCTCTGCATAGAACCCAATCAGCTTTCAGGTTTTATTGTCAAAGCTTAATTGAACATGCTGAAGCTAGAAGCTTATTGGTTACCATGCACAGCTGCACCAGATTCTGAGTGTTCCAGTTTTAATAAATCAACCCTCCTGTGTGCCTATACACACACCGGCCACTTTATTAGGTACACCTCTTTAATTGCTTGGTTACACAAATTGCTAATCAACCAATCACATGGCAGCAACTCAATGCATTTAGGCATCTAGACATGGTGAAGATGACTTGCTGAAATGCAAACCGAGCATCAGAATGGGGAAGAAAGGGGATTTAAGTGACATTGACCGTGGAATGGTTGTTGGTGCCAGATAACTTGGTCTGAGTATTTAAAAAACTGCTGCTCTACTGGGATTTTCACACACAACCATCTCTAGGGTTTACAGAGAATGGTCCGAAAAAAGAAAAAATATCCAGTGAGCGGCAATTGTGTGCATGAAAATACCTTGTTGATGTCAGAGGTCAGAGGAGAATAGGCAGACTGGTTTCTGCTACATCCAGATGGTAGGGTCAGAATTTGGTGTAAACAACATGAAAGCATGGATCCATCCTGCCTTGTATCAACCAATGCTGCCAATGGTGTGGGGGATATTTTGTTGGCACTAGCAAGGTGTACCTGATAAAGTCCCATGAGTATTATCTATCTTAAAGTGGTATTAAACCCAAAACCAAAAATATAATATACTGCAGCTTACCAATAATTAGATTTGGTGGCTGCATTCGCTTTTTTTTCCCTCTGTTTTCACCAGGTGATCTAGCCAGTAACACATCTCTTGTATTAGAGTGCCTCCACTCTGGATGAAGGTGCAAAAAAGCATCTTTGGACAACAGAATGGTCAGTCTGGGGGGCAGGGAGTGTTAGATGTACTAGAAAATGTATATACTCTAACAAATTGAAACCAAACTCCAGTTAACACCTTTGCAGATACAGCAAACAGTTTTTTTTCTTTTAGGGATAAAGGTTTGACATAAATAAAACTAGTCATTGTAAGCACACCTGTCAGTGTTGAATTGTTTGTCTCATCCCTGTAACTCATACATTCTGCTGGAAAGCCTGTTATTTTAAAACACCAGGCTTACTGGCCAGATAACAAGATGGAAATAAAAGAAAAACTAATGCAGCTATCACATTTAGGAATTGTTAAGCTGCATATAATAAATTTGTGCTTTTGGGTTTCACAACTCTTTAAGCTGGCTATCCACTAGTTAGTTTGAAAAGTTTTAATTTAAGAGCATTTGTTCGAATTTCTTATCATTAGTGGGGTCAAATCAGTGTTTTCAACCACAGTGACAAAAATATTTGAGGGAGCAGAATGCAAAGTTTTTCTCAAATTCACAAATTTCTAACAGTGAACGTGGATTTAATTTGGTAAAGTCCATTATTTTCAAAAATTAATGCTAAAAGCAAACAAAATGCAATGCAAAGTACTTTTGAACAACATTTGTCCAGTTCGAATGTACAAATAATTTCATACAAACGTTCAAAAACCTTCTAGTGTAGCACCCTCTTAGTTTACCTAGGGTGAGCTAGACCCTAACGGTTAGTAAGGAGCTGGTTAGCAGCTCAGGTGAGATAGTCAGAGGGGTAAAATTTTGGTCAGTACTGAGAGACTCTGCAGGCCAGCCTCTCTGGAATTTCCCCCTGTTCTGAGGCTTTCGGAGGAGGGCTTTGGAGGTAGTGGGTGGATCTGAGGAGTGGCTGGTTGCACTCTTGAGGGACCTCAGCCAATCCCCAACAGGAGGTTGACAAGGGGCTGGGACTCCCTTAAAAGTGTAAGAGCCTGCTGAGTAGCAGGAGTAGTTTAGGTGGTGGGAGAGGAGCATGGAGCAGGAAGATATGAGGCTGGAGGAAGAGGCCTGGTGGGATGGGGCCTGCCTGTAAGCCTGGAGCTGGAAAGGAGGAAAATGCAGGACTCACTGGCCCCCTGAGCAAGGACCACCTGTATGGCAGGGAAGGAGCAGCACAGTTGATAGGCCTGGTAGCAGCATCCAATCCCACAAGCAGTACAAGAGAGATTCTGAGTGAGTACACCTGCACCCCCTGGGTTGATAGGGGAAGGAGCACTCTGGTGGAAAATCAGATTAGCCCTCTGCTAGTGACTGTACACCTTATTTAACCTCTTTTCGCCCGGCCTATGGCTGAATGGCGGCCGGCAAAAACCCATAACTTTCCGGGTGGATGCCCTATGGCGTCCTTTCGGCATGCGCAGTTTGCGCGCTTGCAGAGCCGCGCAGCGGCACCATCTGTCACCGGCCGTGTACCTCGGACACAGCCGATGACAGATCTGAGTACCGGCCGTGTTCCTCGGACACAGCCGATGACAGATCTGAGTACCGGCCCCGTTGCCGGTCCCATGTGACCTGCTGTGACCAATCACAGCAGGTCACATGACAATTGTATACAATGGATGGCTTCATTCATGCCATCCATTGTATACTAGTGTGTCTAGTTGTGAATGGTCACAGCAATCACATGCAGAAGCTGGGCCAATCACAGCCCAGCTGTGTCATGTGATTAGCCGTGGCCAAATCACAGCTAAGCACAAAAAAAAAAAAAAAACCCTGAATGAATCAGTCATGCAGGTAAATGCTTGCTTATAGCAAAGTAATTCTTTGCTATAAGCATATTGTGTAAAAAAAAAAAAAAATACTGATCACTTCCCCAAAGTAGTACAATGTTACTATGGTAACATTGTACTACTTTGGTCATAGTGAAATATAAAAAAAAAAATCTTAAAAAAAAGAAAAAAAAAATTTAATAAAAAATTTTAAATAATAAAATTTTTTTTTAAAAAATTGTAATTTTTTTTCATACTGTCACCAGTCAGTGTCCCTGTTCACCTCCATGCCAATTATATGATGACACTGTACTGCACTAGTGACGGTATGTAAAAAAAAATTGTGAAAATAATTTTTTTAATTTTTTCATTTTCTGAAAAATTATGACAAAAAAAATACAACTTCAAAAAACTCGCCATTCCTCTTATGAAGTACGTCAGACTGTCTACTCTGCAAAAAGGGGTCATTTGGGGGATATCTGTACT